TTCTGCACGCGCAAACGCAATGCAGTTCAGAGAGATATTACGTTTGACCACCAGGCACTTGTGGGTCCTGGAAGTGTTGTGGGCGGTGGTTCCATAATGACCACACAATACACTGGACAGACAAATTCCCCAGACCACGGCCCAACGATTTCATATGGCCCGTCACCTTTTGCATCAAGTCCTTATGTAGGTTATATCTCTTCCGTCCTATTTTGTTGACTGCTGACACTTGTGCTCTACGAAAAGGAGACATCCGAAATGAGTACCTATCCGGGGTCTCCGATGACGTCGGCGGTGTATACCACTGTACCTGTAAACGCACAAGCCCGGCGCTCTTTGGAAAGTGTTTCACCAAGTCTTGCCCAGCTAGGCCCTGCGCCAGGTTACGCCGCCCATCGTGGGTTCACGGGCACAGCAGAAATTTAAGCCTCAAGGCGCCTTCGTTCTCCCGATCGTTGACACACTCTTAATTTACTGCAGAAGTGGAATGCATTCTTCTGGTTGTATTATTATTGGCACTATAGCTATATACCTCTGTTTTTTTGCCCATTTTTTTTTTACCAGAGCACTCATGCTACTTAGGAATCATGAGGAACAAAAGAAGCATGAAAAAATCTTGAATTTGATTAGCGCGTGAACATAACCTCGACTACAGGCAGTGAGTGTCTGTTCAAATATTCTTTGATTGTTTTTATTACTTTCGAGAAAATATGGCTTCAATAAGTGAAATTGAAATTCATTGATAATTCAATTTCGTGGAGTTACACAACGTGACTAGTCACTTGACCTTGACGCGTCGAAGTGACAAGCACCTGCAGCAGTGAGGGTCCTTCAGTCTCTCACTGACTCTACTCATCAATTGATCTCTTTGCTTCATGAACTCTCCACCTTCAAGAAATTCCCTGTCTTCAGTGCAACCCTTTTCTGCCACCTCTAGCTCACGGCTTCAGGCTCTGTACTCGGACTTTTCTCGCCAAAAGCACTCAAATCCAGCATCGTATCACTCCAATGTTGACTGGTGGCAGAGAGCACTTGTGGTTATCGTTGCTGCAGGACTACAAACTCCTAGTATAACACTAGACCAGGATAGCTCTCTTGAAAAACAACCCAAAAGTGATAGATTAGTCTTGCACGCTGGAAGGGATCTCCTTGACCGCTTGAAATTTCCGAAAGTAGGAAAGCCACTCGCCCTCGGTGCTATTCTCGTGCGTTTCTTTTGCTTTTAATCAGGGTCGCTGGTGGAACTTACGTTTATCTCGCAACCTTCTCCGGTACATTTCATACATTGATGTTGTATAATTCGTCTCAGCAAGTCGGAGCTCCGCGCATCACGAACGATCTACACGATCTCAGAATACCTAAATGCCAAGGTCTCCATCTATGATGCAGGGTGGCTACCCGGTCGAATAGCTGCATACGTTGTTGGAAAGCCTCTGTGGTGGGCACTGGAGCAAATAGGCATTGTTGGTGAAGATGGCATTCTTAGTGGATCCGGTTCGGCCCATCACTCGCAGCAGCATACAGACAAGACATGGTGGGGGGATTACGTCTTCGTGTCATTACTCGAGAAGGCGGCAGATCGTGTCATGGAAATTCAGGATGGGAGAATGGCGGGACCAGGGACGGCACTTTATAGCCTCGACACCTTTCGCGAGGTCTTTGGAAGTGTTGTAGGTGGGGATGTACCATCACCCCTCAGCGAGACCGATGCCAAGGTACTTTTGAAATATCTTGAACGCGAAAGAGGCGTGGCTGTGGTCGAAAAAGGGGTACGGAGATTCCGCAAATGTCCACAATCTTCTTGTACATTGACATGGCTTATCGGTAGCTCATTAAATTTGTGGATGACTCCATGACCGCAGAAGACAAAAACATAACAGCAGTCGATCGTGGTATCTTGGAACTTCAGGTGGCCATTCGCAGTCTGCATGCACAAGTGGAATCCTTGCAGAACAAAATAGACGAGTCAGTGACGTTGGCGATTTGATATCCACGAGTAAAGGTCTGATTTAGTTCCCTAGGTGGACCAAACGTGCGGCTTCGGCGCTGCAGCAGAAGCGAAAGCCAATTGCAATAAGCTACCTAAAAAATCGCAAAGAGGTGGAAGGGCTGCTCGAAAAGCGTCTTGCATCGCTTGGCACGTTAGAGTCAACCTTGTTGACTGTCGAGGCCGCTGCAGGAGATATCGAGGTAATTTGTATCCGACTACAAGGAACTTGCTTTATCTGACACTCTGCGTAGATCATGAAGTCATACGAGTCATCGACAGCCACTCTACGGGCAATTCTAGCACACCCATCATTGCAGAAAGAGAACATCGACCAAACAATGGACGCACTGTCAGAAGCAAACGCAGATGCTAGGGAGATGGATGATGCCGTTCGTATGGGGGCAGATGTGGCTATGGGAGTTGAGTATGCGGTTGATGAGGCCGAGCTGGAGGAGGAGCTGAACGCGCTTGTGCGGGATGTCGAAGCTGAGAAGGAAATACAACAGGTGCAGAAGACGCAGGAAAAATTGTCCCTTGCACCCCCTCCAGTGCAGGAACCTGAAAGGCGAACGGCAGCGGCACATCAACCTTCATATATGATACCTACGTCTTGATTATATTACATGGCCTAATATCAGCGTTAATGACCCTACGATAGCATGAAGCACTCGAATCAAATGCCGCAGTCACGTAAAGAACCCGAAGTTAGTATTTTTCAATACTCATCAGCATGGTCTTATGAATAATAGTTAAGAATGCATGTGTATTGTTAATTGCGACGTGTTGTTACATAGACAGGTACAGTATGGAATTATGGACAGCGGATGAAATAGCAGTTGGAATGGTCAAATTAGTTGTTGTTGGAGTTCATGCCGACGGCGTTCTTGGCTTTGTTGAGGAGGGATTCCTAGAAGTAGGGTTTAGTAGACTGTTTAAAAAAAGAGAGACAAGATAAGATGAGACGTACGTCGTTGTTGTTAGAGTTGCCGCTCATAGCATCTCCCACCTTCTGGCTGCCCGATTTCTGGCTCTGGGGCTGCATGGTGGAGGCGGCAGAGTCGCTCTTGCCCTTGATAAAGTCACCAGCTTGCTCGAGAGTACCCTTCTGAGAGTCAGGCTGCAGGAATCAAGTTAGGCGACGATATAAAATGTGCATGTGCGAGCTGAAATGGTACCTTCATAGCAGAACCGGCCTTGTCGGTGAAAGATTGGCGACCAAGATCAGACATGTTGTTCAAGTTGTGTGGTAAGTGTTTATGAGAGCGAATGAATGGATTATACCTGGGCATCTCGAGTTGCTTTTATACATTAGTTTACAGGGTATAATGACGTATTTAACTACGGCTTATGGAGCTCGAGGGGTCATTATGGAGGAATTGATGATGCTAATGAACGAGCGCTTCGATATTAGATTACTCCATGCCATCCAACCAAACAAGTAATAACAAATGACGACTTTAATGCTTTCACTCATCTAATGAGATCAGCAACATGGCTCCTCTCCGCATAAGACATGCTAATGGCATCGCCACTTTAGGTGTCCCTCTCGATAGCATTGATATCACCGTAAATGACCTGCAGCAACAAATCTACCAAGTATCAAATGTTTTACCTTCAAGGCAGATCCGTACGTTCATCATCAACCCCATCCAGCGTTTTCGTCTTCTTTCTTACTTCTCAATCAAGTCAAGTCAGGGTATCCACCACGCACACTCGATTTGATATCTGAATTACCTCTTCAATCTCTGGGGCTGAAGCCCGGGGACCAGATAATCGTCGGCGAATCGACAGCACCTCTACCAGTGGCAGCAGCACCCCCTCGACAAGGTTCAAGCCTACCATCGTCACAACAATCTACCACGGGGCCAGATTACGTCCAAGTAGATGGCAGCTTCCTTATCCATAGGGTGTGGCTCTTTCTTCTTCCTGTTCGAAGCATCCTAAATCACCAACCTCGATATGTAGATCGTTCCAGACGACAACTCGTGTTTGTTTTCTTCCGCTGCTTTAATATTCGAACAAAGCATATCAAAGGCATCCGAGCTACGACAGAGTGAGTTCGCGGCCTTGATCCGTCATTTTGCGCTATCGCTGACAGACCCAAGTCGTGGCTCAGGGTATTCAGAAAGACCCAGAGACTTATAATGAAGCTATTCTCGGGTAAAATCGATGTCGTCTCAGAAGATTTGTCGTCCTTCTCATACTCCTCATATTAGGATGCCCCCTTCCAAATACGTCGCTACGATAACAAAGCCCAGCACATGGGGAGGTGCGATCGAATTAGGCATACTTGCTGCACATTACCAGGCAGAGATTGCCAGCATAGATGTTGAAACCGGAAGGATCGACTACTTCTCGCCAGGTGACCACCGAACTGGCATGCGTTGTATCATGATCTATTCTGGAATTCACTACGACGCTGCCTCCCTAGCACCGATGGCAGAAGCCCCTGCGGAATGGCATCAGACCCTCTTCTCCATTGTGCGTTCCTCTTTCTTATCGAGCTCAAAATCGTTCACCGATACTTTCGCCAGAAATCCAATGACGACTCCGACCCAATCCTGGCTGCAGCCAAGAAGCTCGCGGCCATACTTCGTAGCAAGAGGGCATTTACAAACACGGCTACATTTGACCTTAAATGTGAAGTGAGTCTTGTCATCTCTGGTGTCACCGGCCCTCATCTCATGACTCGTCCTTAAACAGCAATGTGGTCAAGGTCTAAAGGGGGAGAAGGGTGCTCGCGCTCATGCGGAAGCTACGGGGCATACTTCATTTGGGGAGTACTAATGCCTTGAGCATGGACCCGAGTCATCCACGCATATCATGGGAAGTGTGTCATTATATATGCCTTGACAATTTCAAATAAACAATTATGGTTTTCCGATTTGACGTTTATACCCGCATACTTTCCATACAATTACAGTCCATTAAGTAAAATAGGAGAAACACGACCCTGTTGGTATATGTAGTAGGCACCGCGCAATCGATTTGTTTATGCCAGGGCAAAAAATGGGGGCACCGCGGATCGAACGCGGGACCTTTAGAATGCTTGGATTCACCAATGCTTCAGTCTACTGCTCTCCCAACTGAGCTATGCCCCCATACTGTGTCATCCCTTACCTGTTCAAAACCAGGTGGATGCCAGGAACCAAAAGGACACCAAACGCCTACCCCTTCATTTACATTTAAAAAATGACAGGATATCAGAGAATATCCTACTGAAAGAGCTGTCCAATGTCATGCCAAGTCCTCTACTTACACTGGGCCCGTGCTCTTGAAACACCTTGTTTCGATTCATGTAATGTGTCAACGTCACCGTTTGAAATTCTGTTGCCAGTGGCAGAGCAGAGCGATTGTCGAAATCCCCATGTCAGGGGAGTTACATTTCGATTGCGATATTCCACAATGCAAAAACATATGGGGGCACCGCGGATCGAAAGCGGGACCTTTAGAACGCATCTCACTATGGCGCTGACCACAAAGAGCTGGCTTCAGTCTACTGCTCTCCCAACTGAGCTATGCCCCCAATGAAATTCGGGGTTTACCCGAGTCTTTTGCCAGGAGATGGTCAAAAGATGCTTAACGACAAGGCACTTCGAGTTAACCACACAAAGAGAATCGAACGTCAAAATTCTTAACAGATATTATATGAAGGCAACCTGGTTATACTGCTATTTCCAGGACAACTGGAAGGTGATCAGATGCACCGTAAATCTCGTCGCGGATCTCACACTAAAATCCAGACGTTGAGAGGGTATAAGGAAGACACCGAATGTACAACTCACCTTTTTTATCTGTTCTGCAAGTCGTTCACTAACGACGACTAAAATCCGCTCTTGGTCAGTACCCGCTAATTGGGATAAGGGATAAGGGCTTACACATATCGACTCTCCAGCCAAGGCTTTTTTCCCGACAGTTAAAACGATACGAGAAATAGGTAAATTGCCGGTCCTCTGGGTGAAGACTTCTCCAGATATCAATGAATTTACCGCCGTCCACACCTTCTGGGGGTTGAAGTAAATTTTTGAAGGCAGTCGTCTCCACCTCTGTGTACCCTGCAGTCTTGTTCCAATTTGGCTTAGGGTGTGCAAGATCTGTGACATGACGCTGTTAGTATTTTTCAGGAGATCAGTACTTAGTATTTACACCCACCCATAGCTGTTGGCGCCACATTGAGATCACCTCCCCATATGACTGGTTTCTTCTTATCCAGCGCACGAAGGTAGGTATTAAAATGCGTGTTCCAAACTTTACGGAGATCCAAGGTCTGAGTAAAACTAAGTATTATAGACTGGAGGTTTTGCTGAACCCATTGTGCACACACATACCTTCAAATTCAGACCGGCGTTTACGACATAGGTCCCCACAACATAGAATTTCTCGTATTCTAGAGTAATGATGCGGCCTTTGACCTCCTCAGCATCGGGGTAGTCAGGTATAGATTCTTCAACGCTGAGCGGGGGTATCTTGGAAAGTATACTCGTGCCCGCTAAGAGTTAACAATTCAGTCAAGCACTGGTGTTCACGGCGGAGTTCGCTTACCGTAGCCTTTCTTGGCAGCTATTGACCAGTATTCGTACGGATAAAGCTTTTGGAGAGCTGGTTTTCGTGGCTTCTCATTAACCTAGTGCAACATGAGCCAGAAGCATGCGAGTTGGGGAGAAACTTCAAGTTGGTTATATACCTTTGTTTCAGTGACGATCAAAATATCAGCATCCTCGGCGTCCACATATCTTTGAAATCCCTGGTGCTGGTCAGTTAAGCGCTTAACCTGCGATGAATAAGCATATACTTTTTTCTCACTGGCAGCAAGGCCTGAGACATTCCAACACGCAATACGAATCGTGCCATCCTGCTTGGGTGGAAAAGCGATGACATCCGGCAGGGCCTTATTAGTCGGTTGTGGGGGATAAGAGAAGGATACAGAGGATTCATCCTTTGTTGACTTGGCTCTCTTGAGAGGTTTCGCCTTTCCCTTGACCGGCTTTTTGGATGGCCCTTCTTTGTCAGACGAGTTGACCTCTGTATCATGGTCGCTAGGTTCCTCTTCTTTAGCTTTCCTTTTTAAATTTTTCGGTGGCATATTGCAAGATCTAACGATAGAATAAGGTCGCAGTATGGTTGAAAAAGATGGTTCGTAAATAGAGTGAAAGTGCAAAGCATAAAAGACGCGACGCGACGATGTGTCAGCAGAAGCGTGGAAATGATGACGTAATCATCACGGTAATGCAACCCAATGAACGCGAGTGTAATTGCCCAAAAAGGGAGGCCAACAGTGACACTGCTTAAATCTTTGAACCACATACGTTCTGGTTTGTCTTTCTCCGTGGTAAGTGTTTAAAACCTTTTGCCCAGGACTGCCCCTTTCTGTTGTTTATTCACTCTACAAACAATATATGATTATAGGTTTATTTATACCCAGCTATTAACTGTGAGGTTAGCGGTGTTAAGATCTTCACACTCTATTCTTCCACCTTGCATGGTCGACACCCCTGTCCATCAACAGGCTCGGTCAACAGATGCTCACACATAGAGGTTTTTCTGCTTGGATTGTCTCAGAAGGGTGTACTGTGCCAGAATATCTGGTAGCTGTTGATGAACCAACTCATCGTGTCTCTTGTTGGATTCCAGCCACTGTCGGTGAAGTAAGTCTGACCAGAAAAACATAGGTATCTGCTGAACCTTTGTGTTAATGCAAGATTTAGTCCTTTTCTGTGTTTTGGCAGGATCATACTGGAGGTATCGATACCTCTTCATTTATTACACTCGATGGTGTGACAGTACCAGGACGTTTCCTCTTTGGAGACGGGATGGCCTCCAGAAGTGGCGTTCGTGTATCCAAGACCACAGAGAGGCCTTTTGTGTTTGCATCAATAGCAGAGGAAGGTATGCCATGCATCCAATTCCAGCATAGTTTCAACTAAAGTAAGTACAGGGACTTCAACCTCCTCTGGGCCTGTGAACAAGGAGATAGGGATGATCACTCTCAAGATCAAGAGGGTCAAGAGGGTCACGATTCGCCCTGCGAATCCTATTCAAGAGCTCCCAAGTGTCACTACTCTTGGAAAACGAAAGGCAGGCGATGTTCGTATCGAGTGCGTATTGCCTATTTCGAGCTCGTCACTTTCAAGGCTGATTTCAAGACAGATTTGGCCAGGACGAACAACCTTTAGAGGAGCAAGCTGCCACTACTTGGGGGACTGTTCCATACGACGAGGTTGCTTCGGGGCAATCTACTTCATATGTATCTTTCTTGTTCCGCTATCGTACACGCGGTAAGGAAGCTATTTTATTGGATTTTAGGACAATAGGTTTAATCAACACTGTGGCTTATACATACAGAGTTCTTGGAAGCACAAGGAATAATTACGGAACCTGTGCGGAAGACTGCTCCCACCAGTACTTATCAACAACCGCAACCGATAGATGGCCAACAACGGAGCTCACTAGATAATCTGCCACCCGCCAAGCCCACCGCGGAATTCACGCCTGAACCGGAATCCGATCTGTTGACGACAGCACCAAAGAAACCTAGGTTAGGCTCATCCACCTCAAGACCTACTCATCCGGTGAGTATATTCTTGTTTCTTTTGAAGGTCATGTGCGTGTCTTACTCCGCTTCGTAGAGTTTGAACAACCTTCGATCTAGACCACCGGAACTACGGCGGACGGCCAGCTCCAACAGTTCTTCATCTACGCCCGTGGTCCCTCACAACCCCTACGGGGTTTTCTTCTATCAACGAAGCATGAGCTCACCCACGTATCCGTTGGGCCCTGTGGGTCAGCGACCCAGCGACCAACCTATTCAAAATCAGGAATCTAGTGCAAATGCTGAGGAGAATAGACAGCCATAGCTGCTTCTTGTGACTTGAAAGCCTACTAAACTCGTTTGTGTATTTTCAGCGACTTTGTCCACTTTTCTTTATTATCCCACATCGCTTGTCTGTTATGTTATCTTCGCTATCTGGTTATGAACATGCTATTGAAGTTAGTTGAGAAATATATTTAGTCTGTACAAACATAGAGATGGAATTTTCAATAAAAAAATAAATCTGTATACCTTGTAGTGACATAATATGTCGCAAAGTTTTGAAAGTTTTGAATAGCATAAGAATTGGAAAATAAGAATTGACGCCTTTGCGGAGTTTGGATAGACGCCTCAGATACTCACAGGGTCAGGCCATGGAAATTCAGTGCCTTGGTTGGAAATTACCTTCTTGTTTCGCTTTAATGATGAGTACTTCCGAGTCAACAATATCTTTGTATGTCTGGCCATCTCGCTGGGATTTACCCTCTTATGACCCATTATGTCTTGCTGCAATCCTCTATCTTCAACTCGCTATTCCCGGCAAGTTTCGCGTTGTAGAATGTCGAAACCCGGATGAATCACCAACGGGTACGCTCATTTATCAGTTCATCACAGCTCAACGAACTAAATACCCGCATGGCTAGGACAGTTACCTTTTCTTGTCCATGAGCAGCACGCCGTCGCGTCGTATTCATCCATCGTCAGATACGTGTCAGGCCTCCGGAACGTTGACCACGATGTGTACCCCAACGCCAATCTTGACATCCACCTTACACGCTCTGAGAAATCTCAAGCAACAGCGTGGTCTGCACATGCAGAGGCACAACTAGGAGATCTTGTCGTGAGTGTTCCAGTCGTTCCACCCTTTTTGACTCTCAAGTATCGATTGTTAGTACCATTCCATGTATGCCATTGAAGAAAACTGGGTCGACATGACAGGCCCCGCCCTCGCTACGATGTTCCCTGTCCCTCAAAAGTATTACGTACCAAGGAGGATTCGCGACACTCACTATCCTAGGCTGACAGCCGCTGGCCTTTGGAGTGCCCCTGTCGAAGAGAAGTCAGCAGAGCCAACATTCAAACGGGATGCTACTCCACCATTGTCTTCGCGAGAAGGACTGCTCGGCAAGGTTGCTTTTAAAAAAAGGTTTCAGCGTGAAAATGTATGTTGCTAACGTTTACGTTGTGATATACTACTTACGGCGCGTGTATCACAGACAGTAGAGAAATCAAGGTTGATACTCGACCTTTACCGCGAGCTTATTCATGGTCCTTACTTTTACCAAGAACGGTACGTGCTGTCCAGACTTCACGTTGCCTATTTAACGCGTTAACACATACTTGACTACAGTCCAAGTTCAACTGATGTAATAGTTGCGGCTCACCTTATCCTCCTTCACAAACCTCCATACCCTGAAATGGTCATCAAAGATTTATTGTTGGAATCCTATCAGCCTCTTGTCTCATTCGCCGACGGCATATATACCACTGCGTTTGGAGAAGGAAAACCTTTGCTGCAAATGGCACCTGACACATGGTCTGTTTGGTCTCTACTCCCATCTAAACCAGAACACGCAAGACAGGGAAAACCCGAGGTGACGGACGAGGATCAACAGTTCAGCAAAATGCGCTGGGGGTTCTTTGGTCTTGCCGCTGTAACATTGGTGTCATACGTTATAATTGTTGCTCATCAATACGAAGACGTGCTTCAAGACATT